AGGAATGGAGGTCCGAGAGTGACCCCAGAGGAAGAGATATTTTCGGATATTGGTCAGGGAAGTGCTCCCTGTGGAGGTAACCTAAATAAAGGAAGGGAAAAAGCCACTTGAAAATCTGGGGGAAGAACATAAAGGGATTTTCTTCAGTGCAAAGGGATGAAGTTGGGGGAAAGCTGGGCCAGGAGTGGGTCAGAGTGAAGGGAGGGAGGAGCAGGCAGGGAGAGCAGAGGACAGGACACCCCTGGTTCTTCTCCACCAGAAGCCTGCTGTGGGGAGCTTAAGAAGACCCCTGCCAGGGAGGAGAGGCCACCCCCTGAGGGAGATGGGATGACTGTCCCACCACTGCTTTAGAAAGAGAATGGGAAAAAGAAACCTGAGATCCCAAATGACCCTGATGGGATTGCCAGAGGTTTAATTCCGCGTTTACATTACAGTAGATGCTTCCAGCAGCCATGTATGCTCCAAGGGGTTATTCCTGTTACGAATGAGGAAACTGAGACTCAGAGAGGAACTGAGTTTTCTGTTCTACTGAGCAAAAAGGAAAATAGCACCTACTTCTCAGAGATGCTGTGAGCACTGAGATGGGGTGGGACAGTGGCTGGCCTGTAGGTCCTGCTCACTGAAACGTGGGTTCCCTCTCCTCAGAACACAAGGTATAGCCAGCCTGGAGAGCCAGATTCCATGACCCTTCTGGTGACAAAAAGAGACCTGGGAGAGGGGTGGGGACTCTGAGATGGGCTGTGCTCTGACCACACATGGTCATCTAACCTCCTCTGATTGCCATGGGAAAGGCAGCCAAGGGTGAGCCTGTGATGCTGAGGGGGGCCAAGGCCATGGGAACTGTGGTCTCCCTGTGAAGTCCCCCAAAGCCAAAGGGCATTGTCTTTACACAGCAGATGTGTGCAATGAAGCCAACAGGGCAGGTGTGGGACTGGCACAGGAGGCTCAGGAGGCAATGAGTGAGAAGGTGGTGGTGGGCCAGGCACCGCAGCTGGCATTGTTCACGTCTGCAGCCCTGCCATGGGCTATGCACAGAGAAAATGTTTACAGCAAGGTCTAGGGCAGAGGTTGGACAATGGTAAAGTGGGAGCATGAAATGCAGAGAGGAGTGATATGCTCACAGTTTGGGCAGCAAGCCAAATCCAGCAGATGTCAGAATGAGCCAGAAAACTAAAGAAGCTGCAAGGGACACTGAAGGGCTTGTCCACGAGCCTCCTCTGTGCAGGCCTTTTATTAGCTCCACTAGCTCCCTTAACCTTCCCAGGGGTAGAAGGACCCAACTTTCTTTTCCTCCATTTTACTGATGAGGAAATAGAGACTAAAGGATATGAAATGGCTTACACAAGTGTTTCCTGCTCTAGGATGTGGTATACAAGGGTTCTAAATCTTGATCAAGACGACAGGAAAAAGAGAAATTCACTTCTGAGCTCACTTCTGAGCATGCAGGCTAAGCCGCGCCATAACCTCCAAGTCTGGCTCAGCACTATCATCTCTGTGTGTCTGACTTGTGGAGGACAGACAGCAAGGCCCGGAAGAGTGACCAGAGAAGTGGGGAAAAAAATTAAGAACACAGCTTTCTACCAGAAAAATCCAGGAAGGTCCTTTCTAGACCGTGTCAACCTGTTCTGGGCAGGGGTGGCATCTGTGTGACAAGGTGGCCAAAGCAATATGTTTGGGGTCAAAACACCTCAGCTCAGCTCAGGTTCCTGTCGTGCCTTAACCCAAGGCACATCACCTCTGGGAGGCCCTCTTCCTGAGCTGTAAGATGAGGAGAAAACCCCCACCTTGCAGTGGTGTGGAGCCTTGGAGGAGATAGCTACCAGAGCAGATATGAAAGGGTTGGCAAACCCAAAGGGGCTGCACGGCTGTGAGACAATCCTGCTCTTGACCGCCTTGAATGGGCATAAGACAGGGACTCAATGCTGAACTTACCAGCTCAGAGTTGGCTGAGGGGCAGGGCAAGCCCTCCTGGGGGTAGCAGAGGGCTCCTTCCCCTACAGGCCCAGTGGGGTCCATGTGGTTCCGCAGAGCAGGGGAGGCCACCTACAGGAGGAAAGGGACAGCCCAGGTGAACCATTTACTCTACAGGCCCTGGGAGGCTGTGACCCAGATCCTTAACTTTCTTCCTTCAGAAGGGGACCAGGAAGGAAGCTATGGGCAGAATTCAGAACCTCTGACCACTAAAGATCCTTTAGTAATCAACCAGAACGCCCTCATTTTCCAGAACTACTTCTAATGAGAGAGCACCGGGAAGGCTGATTTCTATTCCCAATGCCATTCATTCATTGTTATTCATTCACATTTAATGATGCCTGCTATGCTGGATGCTGGGGTAGAGAGAAGCCACAGGGCCCCATCCTCAGGGACCTCACAGCCTTACCAGCAATCACAGTGGGATTGACATAGGCAGCAATCTAGATGGACTTGCTGCTGTGCAATATGTTTGGGGTCAAACATATTCAGGGATGTCTAGAGCTTTAGGAACAAAGGGTGTGAGGTAAGAAGGGGCCAAAGTTGTGCTTGGAGCAACTAGCGAGCTGGACTGTGGATGTTTTGCCAAGTGAGATGTGTAAATTTCTTCCTGAAAGAAGATGGGGACAGGTGTGGATTTGTGCCACCAGTGGCACAAACTTTAGGCCATTCAGTTATGACTTCTTTGAATTTCAGTTTCTTCCTCTGTAACATAGGAGGAAATAATATCTACCAGCACAAGGTTGTCGTGAGAATTAAGTGGAATAACATCTGGGAAAGTACTTTGGGAAGTTTAATGTGCAATATAAACCTCGGCTCCTGGGTGGGTTTGGGAAGGGGCAGCAATGCAGAGCTGAAAGGGCCCTGTGCTCAGAGCTACTGCCCGCCACCCACCCCTCCCCGTCCCTCAGTCTTGGGACCTGGTTTTCCTCATCTGCTAAATGGGGACCAACAGAGGTCAAAGGGCTGCACAGGGCATTTGAGATCATGAGAGTGACAGAAACTTGCTCAGTGTCTTCCGACTTATCTAGCTGAATCTGAATACGTTTCATAGCTGAAACTCTATGAGCCTCAATTTCCTCTTCTAGAACAGGACATTCAATTCTTGTGAGGATTAAAGGAGTTAATTCTGAAAGTCCTTTGCACACTGTAAAGGACTGTAGAAATGTCAGGTATTGTGCTCACTCAAGCTAGAGCTGGTATTGCTGTTCCAGCAAGTTCCTGAGGGAGCCTGAGGTGATCCAGGTGCCCTTCAGGGGTGAAGGGAAAGGGAGACGCAGTGGAGGGCCCAAGATGGGCAGAAAGCATCTGTCCACCGAATCATTCCACCTCTCTTCCTGGAACAGCAAACTGCAGGAAAGACACCCTTCCAGCCCTGCAGCCCCTCCCTACCTCCTACTCCCATCACTCCAAAGAACTTGGCCTCCCTGCGGTCACCCAAGATCTCCTAACTGCCCAGTCCCACCCTTCCCCTCAGTTTCCACCTACACTGCCCTCTCTCAGGCATGCAAAGCCATGGGCTCTCTCTTCACTGCAAAATCATCTTGTCCCTTGGCTTCAACAGTCAATCTCTCCTGGGTCCCCTTCCTAAGTCTCCGCTAGTCTTTGTGACTCCTTCTCTCCTCTCGCCTCAAACAGTAGGGCTCCCAGGTTTCTGATAGCCCTCCCTTCCACACTCCCTCTTTATCTCACTCATCCTCAAGATTTGATTAAAACCTCTGTGTGATGGCTCCCGATTCTACCCATTCTGAGCCAAATCCCAAATTCCAGTGGTCTGTTAGACATCACCCAGATGCTAGAGAGGCTCTTCAAACTCAGCAAAGCTACATTGATTTTCTCTTTCACTTTTGCCCATGACTCTTCTCCTGTCCTCCACGTTGGCTGGGGACAGCAGGGTTGTTAGCTCACACAGCTCTCCAGATTGCCTGTATACACCCCTGACCTTTACCACCTCTATACAGGCTGTTCTCAGGCAGGACAGCTGAGGGCAGAAAGACCCCTCCCAGTTCCCTTTGCCACTGCCATGGACCTTCCTCCCATCCGATTATTCCAACAGCCTCCTGACTGATACTGCAGCTCCAGCCTGTCTGCCTCCCCAACCCACCAATTCTCAACGCATCACCAGAGTGACTGTGCTAAAATAGATCTTATCATGTCATTCATTCCCTAGCTGGATCTCCCCTAAGAAAGAATGTAAATCGTCACATTGCTATGGCTCCCACTGCAGAAAAATGAAATCCAAAACTTTTTTGTGGCATTGCAGGCCGCTCATACTGTCCTCAGCCCAAGCATCTCTCGCTACTTCCCCTTATACTCTGGCCACACTGACCACAAAGCGTTGCCGTCTCCTGCTGTCCAGCCTTCGTTTGCCGTGTTCCCAGAGTCTGGAACCACTGTGTCTGAGTCACCTATGCATCTTTAAGGCCCAGCACAGGGTTCACATAGGTGGGTGCTCATACAGCTTTGTAAAATTGGAAGGGGGATCTTATTCAGAGAACCAAGGTATTGGTTTCTAACAAATCTCCCCAGTCACATACACCTACACTCAACTTCTCAAGATGTCAAATGGGAATGTTAGTTCCACACACATTACAGGTCTGTTTCAAAAATAAAAGAGGGCAACTGAGGCAATTACCTTTGGAAAGGGCTAAGGGCTACATACGTGATAAGTTCTCCCTCTCGTTTCAAGGCCTGGCTAGCTCAGTCATTCATTCATTCACTCCTCTATTCATTCCCTCTTCTATGTGACATTTATTCAGCACTCCTACATGCCAGGGCCTGTGAAACTTCCACCAAGAAACCCCAGTATTTACTCTTTCAGTAAACCTATTTATGTCTGTCTTCTCCAGCTGAAGCCCTGCATGGAGGGACGTGTCTCCCAAATCACCAGATCCCCAGAGCCCAGCCCAGGGCCTGCACACATTTGAAGAACTGTGGGCCTCTTGGCCTCCCTCAGTTGAGTCGGCCACATGAAGCAAGCATGCCTTTGAAGGATGCTTGCTAGGGAGGGAGCCACCAGCGAGGACCAGCGGCTGTCCTTCCAGTCTCTATTCCTCCAGTTTGTGCCAAGCAGGAGAGATGAGGGTGAAGGTTGAGGCACACAAGAACTAAACAGAGGGGTAGGCTCTTACCAGTGAGAAGCAGCAGTTGTTCACTCTCCTCAGGCCTGAGCCCTTTTCTCGTGGCTTGCATCCAAAAGTGAAAATCACAAGTGACCTAAGTTATAATGTCCCCAAGCCCCACCCTCTTACTAGAAGCCAGCTAATTAAGAAAGGTGCACTTCCTTCTGAGCCTGCCCTAAGCAGAGCCCAGGGTAGGCAGTGCCATGATACAAACTTAAGCAAGATGACCACAGGAAGTTAAAGCCCTGAACTGGGTCAAGGGCCCTGAGATGCCCCCCCTGCAATGCTAGGAGCTCTGTCCATTTTACAAACACTGAATCTGAGTTTTGAGGTGCTGGCTCACCCCTGGAAAGATCAAGTGGCCTGCCTGGGGAACATGCAGTCCAATGGACGATTCTGCAAAATGTGGAAATATCAATGAGTAAGAGGCAACGTGGGCACACAAGAGGAAGAGAGAAACTCTGCCCGGGAGTGGCCGGGGCAAATTGAGGAAGCAGAACCTCGAAGGAAGAATGGCAGTACACTAGCAGAGGCGGTCCTCGGCAGAGAGGAACACATACAACACCATGGAGCATGAGGCACCTTCATGGAATGGGGTGCAGCAACCAGGGCCTAAAGAGGATAGGTGGGGTATATGGTGAGAGAGGCAGCAGCCAGGCTATGGAGTCTCACCTTCGGTCTGTAGGCCAAGTGGGGAGAGTAGGTACACAACATGGGTCTTCCCTACCGGAAGACAAGGGATCTCAGGCTACAGTGGACCTGTAGGCCACAAAGTTGGTTTCCCCTGAACTAGTCTTCTCGAACCTTGCCTCATCACTGTGTTCACTGCTGTGGTCTGAATGTGTGTCCCCACAAAATTCATGTTGAAAACCTAATGCCCAAGGTGATGGTATTAGGAGACAGGCCTTTGGGAGGTGACAAGGTCATGAGGTCAGAGACCTCATGAATGGGTTTGTCTCCTCATGAGAGGCTCCAGAAGGTTCCTTCCCCACTTCCGCCATGTGAGGACACAATTAGAAGTCTGCAACCAGAAGAGGGCCCTCACCCAACCATGCTGTCACCTTGATCTCAGCCTTCCAGGATCCAGAACCATGAGAAATAAATTCCTATTACATATAAGCCACCTGGCTGTCAAATCCTTTTGTTATAGCAAAATATGGACCAAGATGCCCACCACAGTAGGAGATTAGACATACTGCACCAATTTTCATTTCAGGGAAACTGATGGACAGATACTTTAAAACTTCAGGCTGCCTCATCAGCAGTCATCATTATCTGCAGATAGTACATGACCTCCACACGACAGCAGGATAGAGACCAGGGACGGGAGCTCTTCTATCAGTTTTGGTGTGACTGTGCCTGGAAACACGCCAGACATCAGTCCTGCTGCACAGTTCGCTGGGTACCAAGCAGGCACTGGAAGCAACAAGATGGGGTAGAAGTGGGAAGGGCAGCAGGACCATCACCCACAGCATAGCGTCCTGCTTAACCTCGAGTTCATCTCTCTCAACTTTGTTCAGTTGGCAGAGGAGGATATGAAACTGAATGTGAAAGGTCCAGCTGGGATCCGTGCTGACAGCCAAGATCTGTGGTCCCGTGAGTCAGAGTGAGGGCACGCCTCAAAGCAATACCAGGGCCCCTCATCTGTGTCTGGAATCTTGCATCCATTTTCCCGGGAGCAGGGGTCCCAGCACCCTGGGCAGAGTATCAGAGAAGGCTGTGCAGGGCCTTTGGAGGGAAGAGGCAGCCTGGACTTGAAGTCTGTGAGCAGTTGTGAGAGGCCTGGCTGCAGCAGAGGCCAGCAGTGCTCTTCAGACACCAGCTGGCCACTGACCAACAAGTAGAAAGACAAATCTTGACAAGGATCCCCCATAGCCCCTCAGTGCTGATCTCCAGGTGTCCAGAAAAAACTAAAGAATGGAGAGAGGCGGTCAGTGGGAGGAAAGGTGGGCCACAGCTGGAGTACCAGGGCTGGGCTGCAGCCAGGCCTTCCTGTGCTGAGCAGCTCCCAGGCCTGCTTCTCACAGCAGAAGATACCTGGCCCTCTGTAAGTGTCCCTCAACTTCCCATCCATCCCATGCCCTCTCACTCAGAAGTGCCTTGCAGGGCTCCTATACCCAGCGAGCTGCTTTACTGCTAGGTCCTTGTTCATGATCTGTCTGGGATGACTATCCCTTTGACCTCTCCAGCACTTCCGCCTTTAAACCACGCCTCAGTCTTCACCGATGCTTGGGAGCCTTCCCTGATAAGCTCCTCCTGGCCCTGACCCCAGCTCAGGGTGGCCTATGGACTCCAAAGTGTCTTGGACTTTCTTCCATCATTGCATTAAGTCTATTAAAATAATCATCCGTTTGGTGTTTGCCTTCTCCCACTGTACTGTGAGCTCCTAGAGCAGGCTTCTTACTCATTTTTGGAGCCCCTGGGCCCAGTTCTAGACCTGATGTGAAATAGGTTACTGGTTAATTTTTGTTAAATTGAAGAGCCCACAACCTCCATAGTCCAGGGCTTTTGAAACTGGGAAGAAATCAGCAAACTCTTCCTGCCTTCCTGGTGCATATGGCTTCAGCAGCCTTTCCATTCTGGGTTTATACATGCTCACATCTTCCTGCTGGTACTATCATCCACTTACTACTACCTGCCTTCCCCTCACCCCAATTCCCACACTTAGGGTCAAAGTTGCCCTGCCTCACAAGTGAGAAAGGGCCCAACCAAACTTAAAATTTCCATTGAGGTTGTGACTCGAGGAAGAGGTGGGAGGTAGTATAGTGCAGTAGAGAACATTAGCTGTCAGACCTAAGTTCAAATCCCTTCCCATTTACAAAGTATAGGATCTTAGGCAAATTTCTTCACTTCTCAGAGCCTGTTTTCCATGTATAACAAATGGAGACTCATTTCTCCATAGGAAAGGCCTTAAGTTGGGTTCCCCCAAAAACAGATTGAATTTGAGTCCAAATAGTTTAATTGGGAAGTGATCTAGCCCAGGGCTGGGATTAGGGTAAGGCATGTGAGGTGCCCTGCTACAAAATGTAAAGAGACCCTCAGGTTCATGCAAGTGCCAACCCTGCCCTCACATGAACCCAAGAATGGGGGTCCCCCACCTTAGTCCTAGCTCTGATCCAGGAAGCACTGATATGGGAGTTGGGGGTGAGGTAGGAAGGGTAGGAAACCAGCAGAGTGTACAGTGAAGTTGCTGCTGGAAGCTAAACCCCAAAAGGGAACTCTGGGAGACAGAAAGAATGTACCCACCAGGGAGGTGAGGAAGCTGGGGTATTTATCCTCCAACTTTCATCTTTTGCTGGCTGAGGGCTGCTTCAGGGGCCCTAACTCCCTGACACTCCCAGCCTGTGCCACACAAGGCTAAAGAAGTGCTAAGGCAAAATCACAGGTTCTTATAGTAGGACTCTTTGGGGTATATATTAGAAAGGTGAGCACCCAGGGGCAATGGGCAAGGCATGGGCTCTGCTGGAGGGCTACTGAAGGATGAAAGGAAGTTAATGACCACAATGCCCAACACAGATAAGTCCCTTTCTCTTTCCCAATTTATAGCAATTGCCTGTGAAGTTCATAGAGCTTCCCAGCCCTCCCTGAGTCAGCAACACCAGAACAGCTGCTTCCTATCTTTTGGGAAAAGGAATAGAACCCCAGGGTCTGAGCTTACTGGGGAAAGCTGGTAATTGATGGAGAGGCTCACTCCTCGAAGAACTGTTTCTTCCTGCATCTGAACCACAACTGTCTCTGGCTTTTCCACTTCTCACTATTAACACTACTTATGACATGCAAACTAACATCATGTTAGTAACAACTGCTGCTACTTATTCGTCTTCTATGTCACAGATACTATTCCTTTATATTCATCATCTTAATCCTGAGAACCTTGCATGAGTTTTCCTATTTTACCGGAAAGGAAACTAGGTCTCAGAGAGGTTAGCTTGTATCATAAGCAGGGGTTCGGACTCAAGTTGATGTGATACTTTCCACTGACTTTTGTCTCTTCACTGTCTAAGCAGTGCCCCGCCCAAAGGACCACTGGCGGGGGAGGGGAGTAAGTAAGACTAACAAGCAGCCTTTACCAAAGACAGTGTGGGGAAGGCGGGGAGAGGGCACTGGAGAGGTGGCTGTCTCCCCCTCACTCTCCATTAGCTAACAAATAAGTCTGTTGTTCCTGGTCCTGCTGATGTACACTCTCTTCCAACAATTTGTCATTGACCCATATTCTAGCAGCAGTCTGCAACATTTTTGGCATCAGGGACCTCCTGAGAGGTGCCCCTATGAGAATCTTAATACCTGATAATCTGAGGTGAAGCTGAGGTGGTGACGCTAGTGTTGGGGAGTGGCTGCAAATACAGATGAAGCTTTGCCTGCTCGCCTATCACCCATCTCCTGCTATGCAGCCTCGTTCCTAACAGGCCACAGACTGGTACCCGTCCACAGCCTGGGGACTGGGGATCCCTGCTCTAGGGAGACTGCTAATTTTAACCCTTTTTCCGTTTAGAAAAAAAAAGTGCAGCTCACTGCCAGAATTCATTTAACATCACATAGGAATGCTATATTTTCTAGGATTTGACATTTTCAGTAATCAAACTACTAAAACCAGAAAGCTATAAATAGAATGATGTCTTTTTTTTCCAAAGACTATTGATATACTAGAGTGATGTGAAAATAATAATAAAAGCGAGATATTTTGTGGCAAGCTTTGGGGTAAGGTTAGGACTGTAATCTGCGAGTCACCTCGGGATAAACGCGTCAGCTGCAAGCGCTGCTGGCAAGTATTCTCAAGACAAACAGAACAAGGGTTAAGCTAAATAATTCACTTTGTAGAATCAGCCCTTTCCCTTTTCTTATCTGCAGGCAGAGAGGTTAACATACTATCCTGGTTTACAGATACCTCCAACAAATTGCCTTTTAATGAGAAGACTGGTGAGAATTAAGTTGATGGAACATAACTGATAAACCGATTTTCATTAAAAGGAAAACAGGAAAATAATACTAGAGTCAAAATATAGCATTTTCTTTAGGACTTAAGAGGAGGGGCACTGTGGTGTCATTGCCATGGACACAAAGTAGCTTTATTTGCTCCTTTCAGTCTTTGTTTCCTCATCTAAAAAATTGGGGAGGATAATACCTACTTCCTAAGGTTGCTGTGAAGATTAAAGGATGGCATATATATGGCCTGAACCACAGCAGTTGCTCAGAAAATAACAGGTATGACTTATTCAGGAGTCCCCAACCTCCAGACTGTGGACCAATACCAGTCCATGGCCTGTCAGGAACAGGGCTACACAGCAGGTGAGCAGCGGCCAAGCATCTGAAGCTTCATCTGTATTTGCAGCCACTCCCCAGCACTAGCATCACTGCCTCAGCTCCATCTCAGATTGTTAGGCATTAGATTCTCATTGGAGCACCTGTCCCTAGTGTCAAAAAGGCTGGGGACTGCTGAATGTGATACTGGCCACAATGTCAGTGCCATCCAACATCAAGACATGGAAGGAATAGATAGTGAGCCTGCCACCCTGCCTCCTCCTAACTCAAAGATCTTGTGTGCAAGGCACCTATGCAGGAAAAAGTGCCTTAGAAGCCTGTGATGTGCCTTCCATCTGAACTATCTCTGAACTCCCTGGTCTAACACACACCTCATATTCATTTTAAAGTAAGGAAAAGGCAACTCTGAACTTATGAATCAGAAGTTAGGAGAGTCTGAGCAGTGTCCCTATTTATCTTGTCCCAGGACCCTTTCCTGGTCAGCAACCACCTCCCACAGTCTTTCATTACATCTTTAAATGAGTTTGGGCCAAAGCTAGCTTTCTTAACACGCTTGTGTGTGTGATCACCTCCCTCATGTAGTTAGTTGCCTTCTGCCATTCGATGTTCTCTCACAATTGCCCATGCACTGAGGACAGACATCAATTTTGTTGTGCATATACCAGCAACTACCAGGCAATGCGGTCGAGAATGTACACTCTTCTACTAATGTGATGAAACAGAACCTATTTCCTGTTGCTGCTATGACCTCTGGCAACAAGACAACCAATTTCAATTGTAACAGATGAATATGCCTGGCATCCCTGCTGGTTTATCTAGGAAGAAAAAATAATTGCACAGGAACTAATAACAGAGTGTTCACTTACAAATTCTTGGGAAGAATGGCAGGACATATCCGTCAAAAGTCCTATGCTCTGGCTGAGAATTCTTAACTGGGTGAGGCAGCAAAATGAAATAACGAGTCACTGAATGGCAGGAATAGCAGAATAAGAAGTAGCCCTGGCACCTTCCAAAATGATGTCAGAAAAGGTAAAGGGAGTAGCCACACAGTGTTTAGGGCTGTGCAATACAGTCAGTGAATATAGGCAGTATATCAAAGACCAGTAACGAAATTCATTCAAGAACATGTAATTTATGAATCTGAAAACTAGCTCCACAATTAAAATATGACTACCAAATACCCTGTAACAGAAGAAAAAAAGAACTCCACCTTAATGAAATAAGATTTCATACAAACATAAATATATTTAAGTTTTCTTTTAACTGTAAGTGAATTCAAACAAGCTGTTATAAAACCGAATACTATACACAGTTGTTTGTGTAGATCATAGAAAACATAAAAACCACAATGCTGAATAGGTGCTGGTGGTAGAAACTGCAGGGCCAAAACTTGCTCAACAATGAACTGGGGGCCACTAAGCCTTAACGAACATGGCCCACCCCTATTGCTAATAGTTTTGTCAACTTTCAGACCCTAGAAATTCAGGATTTTCTCCTTCTTCCTCTGCCTGCTTTGGTCCGTGTCCGGCTTCCTGGCCGGACAGTAAATTGCTTTTTAAAGTCCACTAAGCAATCTGTAGCTTCTGAAATGGAAACAAAAGACTTGATGGGAGACTCATTTAATTTGAGATGTGTGAGGGAACTCTGCATCTCTCTGCTGCAGCCTGCCTCTTCCTTCCCTGGTGAAGGTACCCTAGAGAGAAGGGGGGAAAATTCAGGATTCAATATACACTTACTAATAAGCACTAAATACATGTCACGCATGGTACCAGGGGCTTTTACATATATTATTTATTTTATTTACTTTTTATTTATTATTATTTATGCCTACAGCATCTGGTCTTCCCAGGTGGTCTCCCATCCAAGTACTAACCAGGCCCGACCCTGCTTAGCTTCTGAGATCAGACATCGGGCTTGTGCAGGGTGGCATGGCCATAGACCATGGACCGTGGCTCCAATGGGGTGCAAACCCGGGACCTTCTGCATGTAAAGCAGATGTGCTAACTGCTACACTATGGAACCGCGTCCTACATATATTATTAATTTGCATAATCTCTGTAATCATCCAACCAGATAAGTACCATCATTCCCCTTTCACAGATGAGGACATTGGGTAAATCATATACCTAAAACCACACAGCTGGGCAGTAATAGAATGAGGATTCAGACCCAAATTCCCAAGCTGCTTGAAATTCAAGTCAGAAGACCAGGGCTGGGTGGGGACAGAGAGGCAAAAAGGAGTAACATAGCTTTTGCTCTGCTTATTTTAACACCATGAGTGAATTGAGCTAGCCACCCAATTCTTAGCCCAGACATGTGGGGATCAAAGAGTTATACCGAGAGAAGTCACACAGTTCCACAGTGATTTCTACCTTCAACAGTTTGAATATCACACTATACACAGAACACAGCACCAGGCCCGTACTTTTCTAGAACTGCTGAGAGCCACACTTCAATAAACACCCCAACTTACCCGAAGGCCACTGTTTCTGAAGACTTGGTCTTTATCTCTGCATCTGTGATAGGATAAAAAAAGTAATAATGTCATTAGTTGTGCTGTATTCATACCACTTCTCACTAATCATGTTCTTCTTGTGTTCTTGGGCACTGCTTTTCATCAGGCTTATCCAGATAGCTCAGTTCTCCAACCCCAAGACCAATGGAATGTGAGCATATAGGATCCAACAGGCTCAGCTGCAGAAGTACCAAGGTGAACGCTTTTGAAAGAAGCACCTCTGAATAAACCTACTTTGAATCTGGACTTGAGGAAGTTGCCAAGGGAAATCTGCCACCCACGAAGACTCGCAACCCACTGAACTAGAGGCAGCAGGACAAGGGGCTCAGAGAGACTGCCTTTTTACAGTCATTAAAAAGGCTTAAGCAAAAGCTCCTCTTTTAACTGCATCTAGAGAATTTTAACAATAGCAACTAGTAACACTCACAGTAATAATAGCAGCTAACATTTATCGAGAGCCTACTTACAGCAGAGAACATATTTGGAGGTTTACCAGATATAAACCTTATGATCTATGATGTTGGTATCCCTAGCTCTATGCAATGCTCATAACCAACTGCTTTGGTTATGAGCATTGCACAGTAGTACCAAAATCTACTCTACTGCTCCTTAAATACTAGGCACAAAGAGACAGAGTTATTCCTACAATCCCTCAGGAGCACAGGTTAAGACACTAAGATAAAGATAACATATGAATGATGCACAGAACATTAGGAGAAGGCAGTATTATTTGTATGCTTGATTTTCCATGCCTGTTCCTTCGGAAGGTAGTTGAGGCTTATGTCTTTCCCCTATGATTTGGAAATGTTTTTTCCCAGTTCAACATGCAGTCCTGAAAGTTCAAGCTTTATAAAGACTGAAAAGAAATGCATGATGAATAAAACAGAGTATCTCCCATTTTCTTTAGGGAGAGATCAACTAGACTGAGTCTCCAAAGCTGGCTGCTTAGGTCAAATGTGCACCCACATAACTCCAACAAATAGGGAGCTGGCAATGGTTCTTTTCAATGGAAAGCCATAGGCAGAAACCCAGAAAACTGGTCCGGGGGTTCTCACCTGTAGTCTTGTGCTCAGACTGTTCCAAAAGACTGAGGAGTCGGCCTTCATTGCGGCCTTTTTCCTATGACAGAAACAGATGAAAGGGTTAACTCATGGCAGAGAATCTAAAACACAGCTTCTTAAGCTCAAATCACATCTGTCTTTGGAAGAAAAAGGTGTGGAGACACCTCTAGGAAAGTCTTTTGCTTTCTAATAAATGAGGGTACACAAGTAAAAAGGCCATATGATGAAGAAAATACATCCTTATGATAAAAAATACTATCTAAGAATAAATATCAGAGTGAAGGCAAATTATTCCACTTAGATCATATTAAAGAACAGTAACCTTTGACCAATAATAGATTTGGAGAGATCTAAAATAGGAAATAATAGTTTGGAGGTAGCTTCTAGGGGCAATGATGCCAGAAGAATAAACTGGTTCTATGGAATAAGCATATACCTGTAAGACCCAACTCCAAATCACCATATCAGAATCACTCCATTCAGGGGTCCCTTTCTTCTGTCATGCGATAATGGTTTCTCTACCTTAGCATACAGTGATTGATATGTGACTAAGCATAGAATATGGTGCTATTGTTTTATCTTTGATCTCTAAGCCAAGACTTGCTCTTCCTAATCTCTAATCACAAAATCCTAAAAGCACATCCATCTTCCCAGTGACCAGGGGCCAGACCCCACAGCTTACTAAGGCCAGGCAAATATAGCATTCAACAGAGTTGATCTCGAATACTGGCAGTGAGGGTATGACTGGATATCCTTTCTAAAAAGCAATTTGGCAGTATGTTTCGAGAGATTTTTAAATGTTTATATCCATTGCCCTAAGAGTTCCACTTCAGGAAATCTATTCTAAAGAAATAATCAGTGGTACAAAGACTGATTAATGTTTTAAACACAGTCTTATAAAACAGAAGAACTGGAAAGAACCTGAATGTCCAATAATATGAGAATGGTTAAGTGACTATGTGATATAAACATTAAGAGTAATTTTTAAAAATAGTTTAAAAATAAACCAAGGAAGGTGTTTATGCTACAATGTTAACTGTGTGTTGTCAACTACATTAAAAATATATAGAAATAAAGACCAGAAAGAAAACAGGCCAAAATACTAAACATTATCTTTGAGTAGCTAAATTATGGTTGATAATTTCCTCTGGTTCTTCATACTTTTTTTAACTTCCCATATTTTCTACAATGAGCATATATTATTTTTTAATTAAAAAAATAATTTTTAGAAGTGCAAATCATGTTTTAAGACAAACAGAAGGAAGGAGGAAGGGAGAGAAAGAGGGAGTGGGTGGAGGGGGTAAAAAAGCCCAGAACATAACTGAGGGTTAGCTGGCCTTTCTTAAGACACTCCACACATACTTTCGCGTTCTTCGGCCGCTGCTGCCGCTTCCCCTCCACATCTGAGCAGACTCTCCCACGCTCTTCAGGCCTGTCTCCTTGGTCACCTCTTGCAAACTGGAGACAGGACTCTACATGACACTGGTACTCTTTGAACGGGACCAGGGATTTACAGAGATAACACTTCTCATTCCTAGCCAATGAGAAGAAAGACAGAAAAAGCAGCTTTATTGCAGCTGGGCTCCTGGATATGTCTCAAATTGTGTTTTTACATCTCAAAGTTATTCTACAGAGGAGACCCGTCAACCAATGCAGATTCACTCACTCAGTGGGACCGTCAATAAACCTAACCCGATGCCAATCAAAAAGACTGAGTGATTAGTGGTTTTCCCTGGCTGTTTCTCTGTATCCCGCTGCTGCAGCAGTGGGGTGGTAATGAAATCAACTCTTCTAACTATCTCAAACAATGCTGATTGCTCTTCAGACATAAAATATTCTGTCGAACTCATCTGAAATTAAGTGTAATAGTTTTTTCAAAGGGAAGTTAAAGTTTAGACAGAAAAGGGAGCACCAAGAACATTAAATTAAGATGACAATTTTGCTAGGGTGGATGAACTTGTCTGATTAGTAAATCAAGTCTGTCCATATGCCGACTTCCTTAATTCTACAACCTGCAACATCGACTAGGAAGTTACCAAAACTATGTGGTTCCACCAGAGGCTTCTGCATAATTTCATATGCACAGTTATTTTTATCTTTTTATAACAGTTGAGTTTGTGGAAAGAGAGGAAATTGTGTCCTTGAGGTAAGGTTTATTGTGCATCGGTAAAAACGGAATTGTTGGGCAAAGGAAGAAAATCAACATTAATTAAGTATTTCCTCTGTGGTGAAAACTAGTAGAAAGCCCTTAAAGCACAATTTCTCTCTTTTTTTTAGAGAATATTTTATGAGTTTATGTGAGTCAAAACTGACAACAATTACCAGGAAGCATCCCAAATGCTCCTAAACACATTTTCTCAATTAATTCTTCAGCCCTATCAGAAAGGTACTATTCTCCTCAAAGTCCTGTAACTAATGATTGTCAGAAGCCAGGTCTATCTAATTCACTAAGTGTCTTAGTTTTACGAAGCTAAAGAAAACTTTCCAAAGTCTGCTATCTTAGACTTCTCCTTCTGGCCATTTATATGCAACTACTACAGCAAAGGAGATTTGGATTAGCTCTAAAAAATAATTTCTCTGGAAGTCTTTAAAATAGAAGAAATAAGTCTCTCAAGTACTTAACCATCTGGGAGAAATGCAAGCAAAACTCTGCTTTATAAGAAAAGCTAGACCAGTGTAACTTTCAAGGTTTATCAATTAGTGTAAAAAGCATCTATTAATCCCCTATTATGTGAAAGACAGCAGCCCTGCAAAAGGGACACAAATCAGGTAGGCAGGCTCTGCTAGTTCTGGCTACATAACCTTAACAGGTTGCTTATAATTTCTCTTTAGTTTCTGTGTTAGCTACTGTGAGAGTTACACAGTAAATAAAGCACCTGGCACAGTGGCTGGCACACAGTATTAGGTGCTTAATAAATAGCTATCATTGTTATTACTGTCTCAGACACATTTTATTAGATGCCCAGGAATAAAGCATGAAGGCAGGTATCCACCTCAAATAACTAACAGTCTAGCCAGGAAAACAGAAATGTCAAAAAGAAACAAAAAATTATTATTGCAATACACTGGGATGAATACAGTCCTAGAGGGATGTCCACCTGACAGTAGGATTCCAGAAGGAGCAAGGGATCAGCTCTGCTCAACTGGGTTAGGGAAGGCAACTCTAAAATTTAGGGTCTAAGATCTGTGTTTCAAAGACAAACATTTCTGCCTAATGACTAACTGCTCTAATGCATTGTTAGTAAAGCCTTTACTTTCGGGAGACAGCACTTAAACCTGACCCCCATCAGCCACCCTAGAATGTGCTTTCTTAGTCAAGCTGCAACCTATAACCCAAGGAAGTCTTCTATATATTACTCAACCTTTTTGCAACTCAACTTCTGTACCATTACAGTGCAAAATAGCTCAATGCTTCCCAAAAGCACCCAACACCAATATGCAAATTCAAAGAACATTTTTTAATTTCAAAATAGATTTTACTGCAGCTAAAATAGTGGAATTAACTGTACATAATAAACTATTACATATATACACACACATTTTAAGTTATAGGACATAAAGTTTATTTTGGCAGATAGTGTTAAAATTAAAGTTGCATACACTAGTAACATAACTCAACATCCTTAACTTGGTGGTAAGTATGACATATTTTCTTGCTTTCCTGAGTTCTGCTAAATCACCATAACCTAAACTGATTTATAAAACTGATATGCTGAAATTCAGCTTTACTGTTTTCACTTACACTCTGATTCCAAAGCTAAGAGCAATATGGAGTGGAGTGGGTAGCAGGGTTTTTTTAGTGTAATGCAAAGGGATATACAGAGGCCACTTACACTGACATAAACTGGGAATAAGAAAAAGAAATTCAGGCATCCAAGCAACGAAGTGATTGGCAAGCCAAAGAAACCCAAGAAAGGTAAGAAAGGAACTGGTTTCTTCATTTGGCCCAGGCAATGGTATGTTAAACAAGAGGAGCTCCATGAACACAGCACGCCTACTTACTTGTCAATGTCTAGGGAAGTCTGGACAGCTATCCCACAGTCGCTCTTGCTCTTGGCCTCTTTTTGTCTCCGAGTCAACACTTTCAACAACAATAAAAAAAAAAGAAGAAGAAAACTGTTAGTTGGCAGTAGACTCTGAATATAAAAGACAAAGTATATAAGGAAGAAGCAAAGTTTAAAACCTTTTTCCACTGAGAGACGTGCACTGTCTGGGAAATGTCGGCCTTTCTGGTATAGAGAACAACGCCTGTAACGTATGGACTGAAACTGCCAGCCACAAGATATTCCTGTACCTGCTTGTGAGATCTATTTATCCCCTATTTGCCAAAAGATCTAAAGACAGTCCAAACCAAGACAGTGTTTTGTGTACTACCCCAACCGGCAGCATTCAAGGGAAGGATTTATACTTCCCAACCAAAATTCAGACTGGTATAACACATACTCCAATGAGATGCTCTATGAAATATAGTATTGGTAGCTACAACTGAGTGCCCACAATAGCTCTAGTCTTTAAAAAACTCTGGAAAGTTCCAGTTACAAGTGAAGAAAGTGGAGCTCAGAACAGTTAACACAACCAGTCTTTTCCACTACACCAGGACCACCTCCCAATTCTAGCTGCATGTAGACTCCTTTAGCCCTGGTGGCATACAAACACATAATCTTACACCAAAAGGCATCTGTTTATAAAATCATAGTCTCTTAAAGGATCTTGGAGGTTATTTAATCAACTGTTTTCCAGTCTTCATTCCTTGCAGTAACAAAAAAAAACTGTGGCCATCTTACTTCAAATCTTGCCTTCTTCCCTCCTGACACCTGAAATTCTCCTGACATAGAATTTAAGAAAGTTATTAGTTCACAATGTAATTTAGGTTAGGAAGCATTTATCCAGTCCAGGGGTCAGCAAACTTTTTCTGTAAAGGGCCAGAGATTAAATATTTCAGGCTTGGCAGGCCATATGGTCTTTGTCACAATTACTCAACTCTGCATTGCAGCAGGAAGGCAGCCATATAACACATAAATAACTGGGTATGGTGTGTTCCAGTAAAACTTTACAAAAATAGATTTCTGGCTAGACGTGGCTCCCAGCTTGCCATAGTTTGCCTACCCTTCTAGTCCAACCTCTTACTCATAAAAAGTACCCTCTATAAGTATCCCTGACAAGTCATCATACAGTTTCAACCTGACTATATCCTTTCACTGAGGGGAATTCACTTCCTAGGAAAAACCATTCTATTGCTATACAACAATCTGACTCAATCTGCATTTACTAGGGGCTGTATGAATATGTTTACCGTCTTTTCCATAAGTCAGCTCTTTGGACACTTAACAAGCTGCATTACAATCATGGATTTACTTAGTTATCTGCCCCTTCAAAACAGGGACTGTATCTAGTCATTAAACCAATCTCTAATAAGACTTGGCCTAGAACCTTTTGTCTAGGTTAGCTCTAATCCTTATGACAATCTTCAGATTGTTATTAATATTCTGCCCTATTTTAAAGGTATATAAACAAACTCTGAGGAATTGACTTTGACAAGCTGTCACAACTGCTAAGTAGTAGAACCAAGGATACAATTTAGATCTAATTCCTATACCTATGCTTTACCTTCCTAGTTAACCTCCTCTACATACACCCCAATTTCTTCTCAGTCTTTATTATGTGTGGCACCCCAAAGTGGACCCAATACTCAACAAGCAATCTGATCCATAAAAAGAACCACAAACTACCCCATACCTGGATTTATATTCTACTAATTCAGCCAAGGCTGTGTTTGCTTTACTGACAATCCTGGTATACTGTTGGCTTAAGTTGAGCTTAAAGGTAATCAAGGTCCTTCCCTTACCCTCCCAAATCAGCTTCAAATAAATGTTATTGAGACAGGTCTCTTATTTCTATACTTGGGTAACTACCTTGTTGGATATTTCCCCCCGGCTCCCCTTTAAACACAGGATTTTATATTTGTCCCTGTTCTTTTCAGGTGAACATTCCAATTTCTTAAGATAATCTGCAGTCTTGATCCTGTCATCTGATGTTATTAGCTCCCTTTTCCAGCTTTGTGTCATCTGAATAGATGACAAGCATGCCTTCTACACCTTCATCCAAGTCACTGGGGAAAAAGTTGTAAAGGATATGGTCAAGGACAGAAAACTATAGCATGCTCCCCAAGAGGCCTTTCTTCTCACCCCTGGTCCAGATTTCCTTTAAATAGTTAATCAAGCAAATATTTATAGAGAATATTCGATGTGCAAGTAATCTGGGAAGATATAGAAAATTATGAGGCAGGGTCTTTGTTCCTAAGGAGCTTATAATTTACTAAAGGAGACAGCACATACATTCAAATAACTATAACACCAAATGTAAAGAGATTTGCATAATAAAACAAGACCATACATACAAGCAACTATTAATAGTGTTTGTCTCTGGGGAGGATGGATGGCAGAGACACTTGAGGACTGGAAAAGGAGGGAGGTATATTTTTCACTATATACTTTTCTGTACTGCTGAATTAAAAATTAAAAGGGAAAAAAAGAAACCAGATTATAGAGAGAGTAGATGATCTATTTCTAAGGTTCCTTCCAGCCCAGAGATTTCAGAAGTAAAAATAAAGTACTGCAGGAGAAAAACATCCTGGACATAGTTGTATAACCACCTTCAAATCCACCTCCTATTCTATCAGCCAGCACACATTTCTCCATCTTATGTACAAGGACTTCGTGAAAGATTTTATCAAGTGCCTTGCCGAAATCAATTCTTAAAAGGTTGGCACCTCACAGATTACAGAAACCTTTAAGGGTTGTTTTTTCTCTCTTTCCATTTATCCCCCATCTTGACTACCAAGTATTTTTCCAAAAGAAAACCACTCCACAGACAGGGCTGGAAACAGTATTAATTGCTTTTAGCACTTTATATATACCTCCATTGCACTTAGCACATTTCTGTTACTTATCTGTATGTCAGTCTCCTTTCTACACCATGCAACTTTCTGAATTAAGAGATTCTGGGTTTTGTTTTGATCTCTTCAGCATCCTCAGCAAAACTTAGCACATATCAGATGCTATTAAATATTTGCCAACTTAAATCATAGCAATGGATTCAAGGGAAAAAACTAAGTCCTTGTTTATGAGGATCTACTCTGTATCCAGCACTTTATAAACATAATCTCTAAACCTTACAACAAAACCCTGCAAGGCATATAGCATTACCTAAATTTTATAGATGATGAAATATTAAATAACCTGATCAAGATCATAAAGCTAAAAACAACAACCAAAAAGCCATGGTACCAGGAATGCAACACAAGTCTGACTTTAAAGAAGCATATGTTATTCGACAAGAGCAGGATCCCTCTCCTGGGAAATAAGAGTGTAAAAGATGGGAAGAGAAAAAATGGTATGTGGTAAGTGAGTGGGCAAGTGGGAAAGAATCTGAGGGAGAGGCTTGGCAGATGGCTGGCAACTATATGCTAATTCTATTATTAAATGTTAGGATCAGGGCATACTGGATCAGGCCTTGGAGGCAAGTTTCTCCTTTAAACCTACTTGTCCCTACAAGAGAGCAGAAAACTGTCAGTTGCCCTACAGGATTCTCCAACTCCAGTTCATGAGAGCTAAGACAGTCATTTCAACTAGCTGCAGGCAGAGAATTCAGTATGAAACTGAAATCTAAAATCCTTGCTGCCAGTGACAATAGCCATAGATTTCAAAAGGGAACAACAGAGTCTGAGGACAACTACCAGGAAAACATCTACCAGGACAAGGTAAGCAAAATGGAAGAGAGAAGGGATATCACTGAGAGCTGAGAGAGCCGCCTATAAACCTGCAACCATTAAACTTAGCCCTATATACCACTGGATGGAAAACACCCTAAGGAGCTGTGCTTGGGACTTGGCTTGGTACTGTCAAAATATAAGAAAACAGTAACATCCAGCAGCATAAAAAACATGAACTTCAGAGTTGGAAATAATAGTGTCCAAATTGGGACTCTACTAGTTATGTTGCCATAGGCAAGTAACTTAACCTCTCTGAGTATTGGATGACTTACCTACAAAATAAGATGATATAGCTTCTACCCTCATGGGTTTTGGTAAGGATCATATCAGATAATCCAAAGTAAGTTGTAAGAGTGTCCAGCCCACAGCAAGCACTCAGTAAATATGTTATTATCATATGACTGCCATTATTCTTCTTCCAAATTTAGTTCTTAGCCTTATTCAAAGATTTAAGTTCATCCTTAGAGCAGCGTGTATATAATTTGAGTTAGATCTTAGTCTTAAGTGGTACCCATACTAATTTGTACAAATAGAATGGACAATCAAATAACCAAAGTATTATAGAACAATTATCAATACTATGTAAATACCAGCACATTTGTTTCCAAAATCCAAAGACAAGCAGTCAAAAATAAAAACATATAGCCTAACCATAAAAACAATGGCTCCTTGAGGAAAGTGGAAATTACATATACAAAGAGAGATTTGGCAGAATGACAGAGGTCAGTCACCTCAATTTGTCTTCCTCGACCTCAAAACCACCTCAGCAGAAAATAACGGGAGGCCACAGAGTTGCATATGTTCCTGGTAAAAGCACCCCTTCTCCAGCCAAGCACTTCCTCAGTGGGATGGAAGAGGAAGAAGGGAAAGCAAGCTCCAACTGCATGTTGTCTGCCTCAATGCTGCTGGCCTCCCCTAAGAGACAGTCCCAATGAAAAGGCTATCATTAGAACTAATTATCTACCATTCTCCGAGATGTGGCTATTTAAACTTAAATCTTAATTAGAATTAAATATAATTTAAAATTCAGCTTTTCAGTCCCATGTGCCACATTTCAAGTCTTCAACAGCTACATGTGACTACTGGCTTCCATACTTGACCCCACAGAGTATTTCTGTCATTACAGGCAGAATGTTCCATTGGCTAGCAGTGCTTCTTTAAGAGGTAACCAGGGCTAATACTACCCTGCCTTAAGTCTGTTTACCTCGAATATCACAAAAAATCCAAGCTTCCCCGGCATCTCTCATCACCTAGATTCTCATCCTCACATGGCTCTGATCTGCCATCTGGGGGGACTTCTCTAGTCTGAA